TTTAATTATCTATTACAAAATATTACTAATAAACAACAAATCTTTAACAACAATACACCCAATAACAAACAAACGCACTACAGAGACAAGAAAGCGTTTGAATTCTAGAAACGAAGCACAAATGTCATCTATGTCACGATAAAATGACGGCACAAAAAACGTTTTTGATCCCGATTGTGTTACCAGTGCCATAAAATTATTTACGACTTTAAACCTAATCGTTTATTATAATAATTGTGTTAAACGAAATTAAGCAAAAATATATATCTGCAAAATCTGAATTGTTCTAAGTTTTATCAGATTACAGCTTGAAAAGAGTTCTAAAGGTTTATTCATCGTCTAAAATAGGAAAGTACCATTTAAAATGTATTTTTTTTGCTCTATTAATTTCCTTTGTTTACATTTTGGACATCTAATTATGTTTCACATTACATGTGAATGTCTTCTTTTCGTCACAATTTTAAGTTAAGTCGATACGTGTTAAAAGGGAAGGTGTATGCAACGAGTTTGCCAGATACGCAAGCTTTAGCAAGGTATCAAAAAAAGATAAGTTACATATCTTGGACATGTACTTCTACGAGACATATGTATATGTGATTTACTGCAAATGGTCGTGATGGGAAAATTTACTGGAAAGTGAAAGCGGGTCGTAGCAAAAAGTCTCGGTTGCGGAACATCTCTTATGTTTCGTAATGTGTTGAGGAATAGGTTAAGTTCAAAGTAAAGGAATTCAAGAATATATTTCAGGAAAACTTACGAAGAAAAGCAACCTAGCCCAAAAGTAATAGACTAATGAAGTAGAGCAGTGAAAAAATAGAAAATTAAAGAGTATTTATAACTACCTGGGCCCCATGCTAATACAGGACTAGTTGATGAGTTTACCATTACCAAAGGACCTATAAAGGGCCTGAAACGTGGCGTTGTTGGTTTGTTTGAAAAACAAAAAAGAAAGTAAACGGACTTAGTCCCTTCGAGACTATAGACGTTGCAATACGTCCGAATCTTCGAGGTAATTAAAATATGTTTTATACGTGATTAAGTCCCGAATAAAAAATAAAAAAAACGTACTTATATACGCGATTTAGACCCAAAAAATAGTTTCACGAAATGTAGCTACTTCTCATCATTAACCCATACGTCTCACTGCTGGGCATGGATCTCAGGAGAGAGTTTAGGTTACAGTCTGCCACGCTGGCCCAATGAGGGTTGCAGACTTCATACATTTTCTGTCACGATGTTTTCTTATACTCGGACTCAGAGGTGCTAGTCCAGATTCGAAACCACGGCCTCTATTTGAGAAGCGGTACGTCAAACCTTTAGGCTGCCACTGCTTTTATTTCGCTACTTGTGTACCTTAACGTTAATATAGGCAATTGTGAATTCAACGTCGGCCAACTAGGTACGTCATAAAACCGACCACACATCACACACTCGTTCAGAACTATTAGGAAGTCAAGATACAAAAGCCACAGTCGATTAGAAGCCGTCATGATTGGCGTTATACAACGAGTTATAGGCAAGCTAATAAGGAAGTTATATCACTGACTTGTAGCACTGTAATGTAGTTGTTGTATTGAATATTATGCATCTATGTTATTGGTGTGATTTGAGGCTAGTTTTTCAAATCAAGAAACGGATTTTAGTTTGTTAGATGAATTCTTAATTGAACTAATAAAAACAAAATATGATTGAATTAATTACTTTAAATTGTTGCTGCATTATCCTTGATGGACTCTAATGGAAACCAGCTATGTCTTAAATGTTGTTTTTTTCTCTGCTTTTTTTTATTTATTTGGGTCACTGAACAGTACATACAATTAACTCTTATAATTAGTTTTAAGTCAACTTCAAATCAAATAAAGGAGGAGGGTCTCAATTCGATTGTTTTTTTTTTGTATGTATGTTACGCGATTACTCCGACATCTCTGAACCGATTTCGATGATTTTTTTTAGTTGGAAACGTGATACCTCAGTAGTCATCCCATTCAAATTTGAATAAAATATTCCACCTCTAAGGGAGCCAAATTGTTGTTGTTGTTGTTCGAAGTTGTTGACCATTACGTATACCTGGGGCAGACAATCCAGTTAGGTAAGTCCAACTTTGAGAAAGAGATCTCTCGTCGAATCCAGCTCGGATGGGCAGCGTTCGGGAAACTCCAAAAAATCTTTGCGTCCAAATTACCTCAATGTCTCAAGACGAAAGTCTTTGACCAGTGTGTGTTGCCAGTGATCACATATGGATCAGAAACGTGGTCCCTCACTATGGGCCTCATAAGAAGGCTCAAGGTCACTCAGCGGGCAATGGAGAGAGCGGTGCTCGGTATTTCCCTGCGTGATAGAATCAGAAATGAGGAAATCCGTAGGAGAACTAAGGTAACCGACATAGCTCGAAGAATTGCTCAGCTGAAGTGGCAGTGGGCGGGGCACATAGCTAGGAGAATCGATGGCCGTTGGGGCGGAAAGGTTCTTCAATGGCGACCGCGCACCGGACGACGCTCAGTGGGTAGGCCCCCCACCAGGTGGACCGACGATCTGGTGGAGGTCGCGGGAAGCCGATGGATGCGGGCAGCGCAGGACCGATCGTCGTGGAGATCGTTGGGGGAGGCCTATGCCCAGCAGTGGGCGTCGTATGGCTGAATGATGATGATGATGAAGGGAGCCAAATTAGAAATGTGTCCGGTTTATTAGATTCGGCGAATAAGCAACTTCTGCGCAATTACTTTTCCTGTTGCAATGATAGCTCACATGTAGGGAAAGTTGCATATAGCCGGGTATTTCGCCTATTACCTTCATAGTAGAGATGGAAAAAATTGCTTATTATATTTTATTTATGGACTTTTCACATAAACGCTTTTGAGTTTGAAGCTAACAAAATCGTTCTGAAAAATGTTTATACCCATAAACTCTATGAAAAAGAAAACTTGCACGTAGTGTTGACAGCGAAAAGCGAGATAATGCCTGTAATAAGTAAGTTTATTTGTGAAACACGAGTTTTATTTTTCGCTTTTTAACTGCCACGCAGAGGTCCCGGGCTCGATTCCTGAGCCGGGAGAACTACATGTATAACCAATATTTATTTCTCTCGTGAGTTTGGATGTAATTTGTGGTGGTCTACATTTGTGTATCCATGGAACCCACAACACAGGGTTTCCTATGAGTGTGTGCGTTATTTTTTTTATGACATTATTATTTACAGTAACGAATTAATTTGTTTAGGAAACATAGATGGCGGCACTTGACACGTAAGCACGTTGCAAAAAAGTTGTTAAGCACTGAACTGAAAAAATAATAGGCATTTTTAAATTAAAATTATAGGCATGCTTATGGGCTTATATTAAAAAGCTAACTTTTAAAACTGCTTTTTGTTTAAACACCCACCTCTACCAATTAGTAGGGGCTGTTTCTCATTATCTTGGTAAATCAACCCATTGTATTAACGTAGTGGTTTACAGCAAAATGGTACAGGGGTATAATTTTATGGGGTTATAATGGAACGTTAACTACGTTGGGTTTTAAGGGTCTTTGTGATAGCGATAAGAAGATGAGGCTAAGGTTTAGACACACAGAATGCAGATCGGTAGCATCAGGTAGTGGGCCACGTGCGATGTGGTTTCACATATCCGCGCTAAACCGTCGCGACGTCGTGTTGTATGCATAAGCAAGTCAGAATGTTTGAAAACTGTGCTTTTGCAATTTTATTGCGTATTTAAATTTAAAATTCAAAACACTTATTTTTGCCTAACTTTTAATCCAACTGATTTTCAAGCAAACAACGCCGCAAAAATAAGGACACGTAGGCTTCTGTTGTTATATGAAGCCATGTAAAGACAGTCTATATTTTTCTCCACTTTGAAGTTAATTGTATTTGCAGTGCGCACACGCTGCGTCACAGATAATGCAATTTATGTCGCATCGTCTCCACGCGTTTGCCTTCAATGGGCAATGTTTTTTTATCTTTTATCGGCTTCGCTTCGAGGTGGCTATTTATAGAGAACATCTTCGTAAATAACTTTTGATTGTAAGAGGTCGCTTGGTCATCGTTTGGTCATTGACATTATAGCAATAAGCACTACAAAATGCAATATAACGTATAACATTGTCATTTATGTCAAGAGATCACTTCAGATTTGTCTACGAGTACCTGAGAGTGACGCTAAGGACTATTCAAAACAAGGTGACACGCGCGGTCGTCTGTTCAAGAACGACTTCTAGCTTTTTTACAGTACTATTCTCTTAATCTAACTAGAAAAATGTCGTCTTTCGGCTATCGTCAGATTTCTATCAGTTGGCCGTGGCATTTAATGCAGACTGGACGTACTCAATCGACTAGGAAGTAACTTGAGTAGCTACTAATCTTCATTTTGCTTTTATTTAATGTTAGCTTGGTACATTGTTAAGGAGTAAATGTTATGAAAAGGAAAATAGTTTTACAGCTCTATATAAATAGTAAAAAATACATGGAAATAAAACAAAACAACAATAAACTGCATAATTCTGAGCTCAAATTGTTATAGATGATAAATCTAATAATTGCTATAAGACATGGAAATCTGCATTTTGAATAAGTTAACTTCCATGATCTATTATAACATGTTCATTTTTACTTTTTTTTTTAAACTAGAGGACAGTACTATCTGATACTCGATTTATTTCCATGCCAGTGTTGTAAAATATGTTTTCGAACTAGTTGATTAGGTACATATTTAGATGTTTATTATTTTAATTTAATTTCATATTAGTATTCTTGTAGCTCATAAAGTTACTTACCAATGCCATTGAATGTTGTCTACATATGTAATTTTTACTTAAGTTTATGTAAATGTTTAATATATATGCTGTTGGTGTTACCATTATGAATAAATAAATAAATTACAGTTACTACCAATCTATAAAAAACACAGAAAAACGTAGGCATGCAATATTAAAATACAAATAGAAATTCTCAATTGTCGAAGCTATTTCTTGCTATCACTCGTTGTAATCTAAAATTGGGTACTTACGTCCGTTATCAGTGTCGAGCTTCATCTTCTCAAGAACAGTAGTATCTCTGTCATTGTAGATGAGAACGGCAGACGCGTTTGCTCGCCACGCGTTGTGCACCTGTAAAAATTGTACTTGTTTAATGCACGTGTACTTAACAAAAACATTATGGATAAGTAATTTTTTTTATAATACCAAGTGATGGAACGAACAAGTCGTGCGCCTAGTGGTAAGCACAACTTGCAAAGTTGCACTACCACTAAGGGCTTTAAATTACAAAGATCTGAGGGGCATTGCCACTACGCCCGTCACCCTGAGACATAAGTTGACAAGTCCCACGTGCCTGTAATTTCACCAGCACCCTTGCTCTTCAAAACCGGAACGCAGTAATGCTCACATTATTGTTTGGCGGCAGAAATAGGCAAGGTGGCAGTACTTCCCCGGACAAACACTTTCACAAGGAGCTTTACTGTTATTATTTGACAATCACAATATTAATTTAGTTGTACCTATTGTATTGTAAACATATTTTCAGAAAATTAAGATATTCATCACGATATTCTCGTTTTACATTGAAATAACCCTTCTTAAATGCAGTACTTACATATTGATATGTTTATACGACTATCGCGGATTGGTATCTCTATTATGGGAGTATCATTATGAAACAGTACTATGTCGTTATAGTGTTAGTA